TTAAGGCACGGTATTTGTTGAGTGTACAGAATGCAAAATAAAAAAAAAAGTGTCAACAAGAGGTGTGGGCAGTAAATGGGAAGTCAAACAACTGAGTCCCTAGAGGTGCTCCTGGAAGTCACACTGCTTATTTTCCTCTGCAATGAGTGCTGAAGTCAAACTTTAGTTTGACAGAGACATCAAAGCATTACCAGGACCCCTGACACTTCATCCTCTGCCTTGCAAGGTCTTCAAAGCAGTTGAAGGTCACTGAATTCTTAGAGGTACAAAAACTAAGACATTACCAGCCCCCAGTTTGGCTTTTCCAAGGGGATGAGAAGATTATCCCACTTTAAGGGATGCTCTGAGGGATGCTGTGTAAGCTACAGAATGGATAGTTCAGTCCATGCCATCAAATAGACTTTATTCAGAACAAAAACCACTCAATGCTCCAACAATAGCAATTTAGGTTCTGGTGAGTGGCATTAGGCAGGAGTTTTTCCTAATAATGATTCATTGCTCCTGTGCTGCAGCTGTCTCCAGAGGCTCCACAGAGGCAGCGGAGAGCCCTACATCAGCCTGGGGCTCCGGCAGCAGAAGGGTGACAGCAGCTCCCAGGCTGCCTTCTTGAACGGCTCCGATGAAGAGTGAAGAGGGTGCAAAACTCCTGCTCCAAACACATGAACAGTCCCTTTCTCAGAAGAAACAAATGAAATTAAATAATTTTGTTTTGGACAAGAGTTGCCCCCATGGTGCTGCTGGGAGGAAAGCTGAGCACACAGGGGTGGCTGCCTTCCATCCATACCCAAATATCTCTGGCTCAGACATGGGCACAGCTTGAAGTGATTTTTAGCAAAACAAAGCACAGAAATTCAGCATGACAAGATTACTTCATCCTGTGGGCTCCCCTGTATGCTCCCATAGGGATGGAGGGCATCTTTTGGTCAGCTGACTTTTCCAAGAGCCTGAAGGCTTTGACCTGCTGTGATTGAAGTCAGGGAAATCTCCAGGCTGAGGTCATGCACCTCTGGAGCAAGGCATCACCCCAAGGAGGACTAGTAAGAGTGCTGAATGTGAGATTTTGGCAATTTTTGCAACACCAGGGCTTGATTGCACACAATACAAATGTCATTTCTGAAGCTTTGAACTAAAGAGGGGTTTTGTTAAGAATTTTCATGTTCACTTAAAGGCTAAGAGAGTAAATAAATGTGAAATAAAAATCCTCACTGAGCTGATATCCTTAAATTTAAGACAGATAAATTATAGAGTGTGTAATAATAGCTTAGAAAAATCCATGTCTCAGACCTGCAAAGCCTAAAGGACTGTAAGATACATGGCCATGCAGCAGGCATTCATGAAATGTTCCAGTTTTCCATTGAAAATAAATCCCCTCAGCTTGGAAAGCAAGATGAAACAAGCACATGGTTCATTTTAGGCTGCCTTTACTAGGTGATTTCTTGCAAAAAGTGACTGCAAATGTCATCTCCTAGATAGGAGGAAAATATGCTAGTACAGGGATTTAAAAAAATTGTATAGATACATTTATATATATAAACAAATAAAATAACCACCAGCACAAGATAAATTACCATTCTTTATGTCTCAAACCCCATGGCTGGAAGGATGCTCTGCACTGAGATCTTCTCCCTTCTGTGTGGTGGGCATTTTGCAAGAGATTTTTGTGCTCATGTTCATGACTACCCAGGTCCAAGGGAAGGCAAAATTTGTCCTTTAACCCTTTTCCCCTTGTGCAAAGAGGCTGTCACAGACTACAGAGACTGCAGCCTGGATTTTATTGCTTATTAACTATGCCAAAAAGAGTAGCTTTCCTTGAATGCTAGCGTTCCTGTATATCCACTTCCAAGCTGGTTTGTTTTGCAGACCTGGACACTGGGAGGTGCAAACAGACTGGCCATGATGAGAATGAAGCAGCAGAGCTACACCTTCATAAATACATCTCATAAACTCATGACTGGGTCTCATGAGTCGTAACCACTGAACATGAGGAGCATTTTGTAGATATCTTTTTTTCTGCCAAGGCAGAATATTTTTTCCAAACATCACAAATTCCTCTGGCTGCTGTGAGGAGACACAAACCACTCTGCAGTTGCCACCTGCTAATGGCATAGACACCCTCGCCCCCATGAGGAAGGGGACAAACCAAGTTAATGGGAGTGCTGCAGGACAGGCACGGGTTCACTGAAGAGCAAAAAGGCCTTCTGTGATGCTCTGAATTATTTCTGGTCTTTTGTGAATAATTGTCTTTTAGGAAACAGCCCAAGCATTGCTATTCCCGTTAAACAGCCAGGGGAGGGCAGCAGCTGCTGCTGGACTGGGAATGGATCCAAGCTGGATGCAGTCATGTTCCTCCTACCCACCCTCGAAAGCCAGAGGTTTTTTCCATTCCAGAGCACAATGAAAGCACAGGGCACAAATGAAGGCTGACTTTGGTTTTAAAAGCACTCTTTGCTTTCGGAATTGGGATAGGGTTTATTTAATTCTTCAAAGCTCTTAATCAAGTTGTTGTCTCCTCTCCCCCCTCCTTTCTTTGGTCCCCATCACTGTATGGCAATAAAACACCCTTTTCCTCCACAGCCCCAGTGTCTGGAATAGTTTCTGTTTGCCTCATTAACTCCCTGCTCCCACAAACATCCCAGGACTGTCAGCAAAGTGCTCACTAATTTGTTTTCCAGCTCTGGAGCACATTCTTTTCCAAAGTATGAAGGTCAGGAAAGGAGAGATCCAGCCTATGATTAAGGAAGGAAATACAGTTTGAGTTCATTTCTGCATGAGAATTAATGAAACCAGTTTGTAAATAGTTAAGGTACCCAAACAAAGTATGAAGGTGTCTGGATCAGAGGTACAGAGATGATTTCTTATATAGAAGTGCAACCTTAAGCCGTCCTCACAATTATTTAATGAGTGATGGATATTTTAGAACAGTCCTAGATGGGGACTTGCTTTTAATACAACATTAATATCAATCAGTTGTTCTGGATCATGTTTTTCAGCATATAATATTTTGACTTGATGATCTTGGAGGTTTTCTCCACTTAAACCATTCTTTGAGCCTATAAATTGAGTTAAAGTGTCTCTGTACTGGACCCATTTGCCACACAGCTGGTGTGGGCTGGGAGTGTGCTTGGATCCATATCCACGCTGATTCAAAACGGAGTGGGATCCCGAGGTGGTGTCTCAGGATGTTTTTCTTACAGTGTAACTGTAGTCTGATGTTTGATTTTGTCACTCAGGTGTCCTGCTCATCCACGGCCGGAAGAAGCTGCTGATCCTGCCCTTCTCTTTCAAAGGAGCCCAGACAACACCCCAAAGCAGCCGAAGGTCCTGGCAGCTGCTCTTCCTACAGCTGGAGAGACAAACCCTTCATCAGGAGCCAGCACAGCCCATCCACGAGCCACTCATTCCTGGGGCAGAGATAGGATCTCCTGCTGCCACCCGCACAGCCACTTTTTGTGAGGCTGAAATGAAGGCGTAGCAGCAGAACAAGCCCTGCCTCTGGTTTTACCACCTGCTTTACCTCCTGTTGCCTGTTTATGAAAGCTGGTGTTAGCATTCGTCATAATAATAATAATAATAATAATTATAATACCTTGCACTTCCCAAACAACCATCCATCTGCAGCACTCGAGCTGCTGGCAAACCTTTAATTAGATTGTGCCTCCCACCACCCCCAGGAAGGAGACAAACATTATCACATTTTTTCATTAGCACTGAGGCTGATGATGAACCTTCAGGGAGAAGATGTTGCAGTTACAGCTGAGAGAAAGAGAACAAGAAAAAACCAAAAATACAAAATCAAATTCAATTCAGGGTTTAGCCTGGGGAGCTGGAGGGAGTTGGACACACTTCAGTCTTTTCCTAGGAGTAAGAAGGGGTATATTCCTAAAGAATTGAAATGGAATCACATCCATTTGTGCCCACAGTGATTTTAGCATGCATGGAGTTTCAGTGACGTGCTAGGGGATTTTGGGGGATTTGTTATCTTTTCTCCCAACCACCCATCAGAGTTAAATCCTCATTTTTCTCATGGGGATGGTTTAAAAGAAACCTCCTTTCCACAACTGTTAAGGCACTGAAAACTTCCTTCACTGTCTGCAACTTAACTTGCCCTTTTCAAAGAGTCTTTCTCTTTGGTCTTTACTCTTTACTGGCCCTTTATGGAAAGGGCACATTGATCCTCTGTGTAGGTACTTTCCAGCTGGGCCTTGCTCTTCCCATCACTCTCCAGCTGCTGGACTCCCACTTCATCTTTCCCCACTTTCCCCAAGGGCTTGACTCCTACTGCTTGGGAAGCAGCTTCTTGCACTTTGTGGTAGTGGTTTGTGGAGGTAGATGGTTGCAGAAAGGAAATTTGAGCTCGAAGAGGTCCTCTTCAGCAGATGGTGCTGCTGCAAAAAGGTATGGTTCTCGTCCTGCATTATTTTCAGGGGTAGGTCTGTAAGGAAGAACTCCCATGAGGGCTGTGTTTCTCCCTATGCTTGGATTTAATATTGTAACAAGTTCCTAAGCTTAGGCTTGGGTGAAGCTGCCATTTGTGGAAGCCCCTTTGCTGCTGTGAGCCTCCCAGGACCCTTTTGCAGTGTACCCATCCCTGTTCCTCCCATCCTGCTTCTCAGGCACCGTTGGAAGTGAGCAGTGATGGGTGTACGGCACAACCTCTTGTTGTCCTTCCTTCCTCCCACTTGATATGAAGATAATGGGAATAAAAGGCTCCTGGCAATGGCTTGGTGGTTTTTCTGCTGGGCCACAGCCCATCACCCTGGGGAGGCTGCTTTGCTTCTGTACTGCTCCAGCCTTGGGTTCCTGTGGGTCACTGGCTCTGGGCAAGGCTGGTTCTGCAAGCTTGCTTGGGGTGGGTTTGGCAACACGAGTGAGAGAAATATTCAACTTCCTAGGAGAACTGCTGGTTTGGGAATGTGGCTGTGCCAGGGTCAGGGGCTTGAGCAAGGCTCTGGGGTGATGCTGAATGTTTCTGCACCATCACCTCAATGTTTTGGAAGGACATGAGGACACTCGGGTGGCCTGAGGTATTTATTTGCCTGTAGCACTTGCACTGCTCATCGCTGCAGTCATCAGGGGATGGACAGCAGCTTCAAGGTGGCTTGTATCTGTGGCTGCTTGGTGAAGGGCAGCGTTGCTGTATTAGAGAGGAAAAGGAGTGGAAACAGGCTGCTGTGTCCTGCCTGCCCATCTTTTGGGGGAGAGAGGGCCATGGCCCACATTTCTCAGCTGCTGTGGGCTGGGAGGGGAAGCTCGCAAAGGCTCTGATCTGGTTTGTGAGCTTCTGGCCCAAAATCTCCTGTCCTCAGGCAACTTTTATAAGATTGGACCTCCTAAAAGGTTATCATGTCCCTGGCAGCCCAGAGTTGCAGCAGAGCCCTGTCAGACCTTACTGCTGCTTTCTCTCTGCTTGGCTCTTTCCCCAGTCATCCCCAGCCCCATCTAACAACTGAATACACAGGGTTCCCATGGGAACAGGAATTGGCTGCTTATTCTGATTTTTGTGGCAAACTCCAGGAGAGTTGTTGGCTGTTTTTTTAATAGCAGACAGGAGGTGGCCCAGGTTGTGAAAGGAGGTTGACTCAGGGTGCTTTGAACTGGCCCATGGAATGTTCAGCTCCAAACATCCTGTCTGAGGGGCACCTCCCCGTGGTGGCTTCTCCCTTTATCTGCCTCTTCTGAGTAATAACCTCCTTGCTGACACATCTGGAGAGGGAGAAGGACAGGCAGGAGTCACAGGTAAACTCTTCCATCTGTACATTGGCGAGCAGCTGTGCCATGGCTGCTGGAACTTGAAAAGAAGGAACATGGGGAGAACATCCATGAGAGACAAGGGTTCATTGTGATGACAGCTGTGGGTGAGGCTGGTGGAAGTGGTGCTGATGGTGCCAGAAATCTCTGGCTTTAGCCATTTTTTGGGGGGATTATTGTGTTTTGGAGCTGCGTGATAGCAGAGGATGGAAGTTGTTCAGCCTGAAAGGAGAGGGCTCTGGGGAGCCCTTGGAGCCCCTTCCAGAGCCTAGAGGGGCCCCAAGAAGCTGGAGAGGGACTCCTGGAGAGCCAGGACAGGGGGAATGGCTTCCCAGTGCCAGAGGGCAGGGATAGATGGGATATTGGGAAGGAATTCTTCCTTGTGGGAAGGTGAGGCCCTGGCACAGGCTGCCCAGGGAAGCTGCCCCTGGATCCCTGGAAACGTCCAGGTATGGAGGAGGAGTCGCAAAGAGAAGACCCTCCCAAATGTCTGCAGCCAGGTGCTGAGCTTGTCCTCTGCACACAAGCTGGCTGTCCTGAAATGCTGATGGGTACTTGTAGGGAGTGCTGGCGCATCCAGAGGGACAGCAGCAACCCCCTGCACCAGAGCAGGTGGGGTCAAAATCATGGATGGTGATGGATCTGGAGCTGCAGTGGCTCCAGGGGAGAGCCTGGGAGTTGGGCAGGAATGCTGTCCTTCCCAAGCCCAGGCTGAGGAGGCTGTGAGCAGTCAGGCATGGCTCTGCAAGGACAGCAGGCAGCTCCCGGGGGCGACTGAGCAGGAGCATCACAGCCTGGAAGCTGTGGAGGGAGAAGGGCAGCTCAGGTAATGACTTCTGTCTGCTGCCATATTTCAAGTGCTCTGACAGACAGAGAAATTCCCAGGAGGAATAAATAACCTGGTGCCTCTGCTCTTTGCTGGCTGCCACTTCCTTGGAGCTAAATGAGCTTTTATGTGAGCGTGAGCTCCAAAGCTGGGTGGGAAAAGCCACTGGGTCAGGGATGTCAGGGTTGGGCTTGTTGGGCTGGTGGAGGGGCTCTGTGAATGTGGGGGTTGTTTTTCTGTGCTTCAAATATGTGAGCTGTGCAAGTGGACTGTTGCTTGGAAACGTCTGGTTTTGCTGCAGAATAGCGGCTGTTTTATAAAAGGAAGTGGGATTTTTTTAATTTTTTTTTTTCGGTGAGTGAATGAGCTATATGCAAACTTCTGCTTGTCTGATGGTGGTTTGGGCCATCTCTGCTGCAAGAGGGATGCCCCAAGACATGACTGGATTCTTAGAAGTGTTAGAAGTGTTCAAGGCCAGGTTGGAAGGGGCTTGGAGCAACCTGGTCTTGTAGAACATGTCCCTGCCTATGGCAGGGAGTTGTAAAGAGATGAACTCTAAGGTCCCTTCCAGCCCAAACCATTCTGGGATCTGTGGTGGCTGTTGAAGGGCTGTTTCCAGTTGCTGGGAAGCAAAGGAGACTCGTGCCAACTCCCCAAGGCCTTGCTGGATTGGGCTGCAGAGGTGTTGTGAAACAAGGGGGTCCCTGGTGCTGCAAGGAAGAGCAAGGCTGCTCTGCTGTGGAGAAGGATGGTCAGGGTAGGAGATTCCAGGGACAGCTCTGAAACAGCAATTTGGGTCTGCTGGTAACTCACACCAAGGGGGACATGGCAGGTGGATGTGGGGTGACAGACCCCCAGGTTAATCCTGGATGCTGGCGTGGCTTGGAGCAGCCTCTGGGGCTGCAGGTGGGACACGTTTGTCATTTCTGGACTCTGTGATGTCTCTGCTCTCCTTCTCTCCTCCACTTCAGGCCAAATTAATGTTCCTCACATGTCTCTCAATCAGGGTGTGCTCCAATTTCAGGCTGTTGCCCTTGCAGTCACAAGTAGGACAATGGTAAAATTTAGTTATGTATCATGCAGTTGTGCTATGCTTAAATGTGCTTTATTGTTAGACACTTCAGATGTAGATGTCTGTGCAAGGAAGAGAAGTGTCCTGGCTGGAGTGCCCAGGGTATAATCAAGAAAGATGTGGGTTCTCCTGGGGCATCAACCACCTCACCCTAATGCAGGCACCCGAAATAGAGCAGAGAGCCATATGTGATTCCCAGCTCCTGGATGGGTCATTTCTCACCTACCTGAAAGGCAGTTTAGTAATTTCCATCCTGAAAGGAAGCCCTAGCATAGATTTGAGCCTTCCCCAGATTGCCTGTGTCCCAGAGATGCAAAGGATGACAATGGTTTCCACATTCCCATCCTGTGTTTGCCACACAGAGCTGAGCCAGTCTGACCCATGCCAGCTCTGCAGCCATAACCTGACCTGGAACGTCATGCAGAGCTCTCCCTCACCTCAGGCACATCCTACCCTTGTTTTGCAGTGCCTAATTACTTTCTAGTGTGGGAGGACTCGGAGAACGTGCTGGGGTTGTTCATCTAGCCTTTGTAATTTGCTTTGGTATTTATAAACACAGTGAGGATGTGATCTGTGATGCAAGGGCAGGTCGGTGTGGAAGCCTTGGAATGAGTAATGCCTTCCTCTGTGCACATCCCAGCTGCAGAAAAGGACCAGAAAGCCCATGAGGAGGAGAAAAGTGAGTCCTCATTAGGTGGTAGAAGCTTACAGAGAGCAAGGAGCTCCAGAGGTCTTTCTGGAGGGAATAAGACGATCCCCAGGTAAAGCAATGCTAGAAACACTTTGATCATTATTTATTCCTTTCTGTACTCGCTACACTGGGATTTTTCTAAGCAATCTTGTTATGGCTGAAATACTTTGCAGGATATAAATTTGCTGTACCTTTGCTCCTCTCCATCCTACTTGGTTGGTACTCTGGCATTGGTCTGACTTCGTCAAGGCTTTCTTTATGCTTCTTCCTGTGGAGAGGAAATCTCTTGTGTCAAATCACCACTTGTGTGCCACACAAAGGTTGTGTGGAATATGCATAACGCTCTTTTTCCAAATGTTAATGGTTCCTGGGTTGCCTCCTCCTGCACAGCCCAGAAAAGCCTTCACTGGCTGGAGCTCCTAATCCAGCTCTGGATTCTCACCCTGGTAATTGCCTAGTTTGGAGCAAGTTTATGGTCTAAGGAAATCATTGTCATGTTGCTTTTTATTGGTAAAAACTTTGTTGTGCTTCCTCTTCTAGTAGCTGTTACGCTTTCTTGGGCACTACTGTATTGTTTTCTGGCATGAAGTTCTGTTGATTTTATATGCAGCCACATAAATGCATACATACACACATATACACAGTGGTGCACAGTGGCAGTTTCCCTGTGCTGATTTCCCATTTCTGGTATTCCCTGTTTGCAACTGAGCCATGTGCACCTGCTCTGTCGTGCTGTGGATCCCTGGGGATGCTGAGCAGCCCAACAACTCCCTTGGGGATGCTTTTGGTTGGTCCTCAGGCACCGTTTGTCCTTGCAGGTCCAGAGAATGAGCCCGATGCCAACAACTTTTTTGGGCAGTGCCCTCCGGGGCACTTTCTTCTTCGCCTTTGGCCTGTGGTGGTCGGTGAGGTACCCCCTGAAGTACCTGAGGAGGAAAGGGGGTGCTGAGGGCCAGCCGGGCCGTGGGCACGCCGAGCTCTTCGAAGGCGCGGTCAAAGCTTTCTTTGCTCTAGTAGGTAAGAGAGAGTGATGGTGAGTCTGTGCCCCAATATCTGCTAGCACAGCAGCAACTCTTCCACAACACTGGGCCTGTTTTAGTGGGACTTAGGAACATGCTTGTGGCACACCCTGGGACAAGGAGCTTGCTGTCATTCTCCTGGGCAAACACCAGCAAAGGAATTTTACAGCTCCACACCTGCAAAGAAACATTCCCTCAGGCTTGTAATTTCCCCATGTATAAGGAAAAGTGACGTTTTCTGTCTTTGTCCAGGGATACTGGTGGAGCAGTTTGTCCCCACTGGTCCCCACCTGCAGCTGTACAGCCCCAAGACGCACAGCTGGACTGACCTCACCCACTGGCACTACTCCACCATCTACCTCTTCTTCCTCCTCTCCGGCATCACAGACGTGGTCTCACACTCCCCACTCAAGCTGCCCCCTGGCTTAGACCAGCTCTCGCTGTCCCTGGCTCTGCTTGTGGAAGGTGAATTGTACCTGGTGCTGGGGGAAGACACAGAATAGGGAACTGCTGCAGTGCTCATGGGTGTGACAGCTCCTGGGCAGTCTGGGGGCCACAAAGGCAGACCTGGAGGGGGTGTGGATGCACGATGGCACTGGCTTTGTGACAGTCACCCCCCTCCCTGCTCCTCCTAAATATGGATCCAACCATAGCTGGATACCGCAGGGGATGCTTGAGGGATCTGTGCTTCTCCTGGTGGCCAGCAGCTCTCCCACCCTGAAGTTACAAAAAGGTGTCATCCCCCCACCTTGGTTGGATGCAGAGGGACAGATACAAAGCTCCCCACCATCTTTTGAGCTTAAGGTGCCCATCCCTGTGCTCCTCCTGCAGCCCTGGCTGGGACACAGGGATCCCCCCAGGTAAGGGGGCTCAGAGACTCCCACAGGTACAGGGAGCAGAGCTGAGACAGTGCTGGGGCTGCCTGGTGGTAGCAGAGGGAAGGTGGTGACAGCAGCTGGTGGCTCTCTGGTTCTTTTCCCCCAGGCAGATCACGGCAAGGCCTGGAGCCTAAGAGTGAGTTTTCAGACGATTTTTAAAAGAAAACCCCAGAGTGTCCTTTGCTAACACGGGGTGGATCTTGGCAGGTTTGCTCTTCTGTTTCCGTGACTACAGCGATGCTGTGCTGGACCAGCACCTCCACTCCCTGCTGGCCGTGGCTATCTTTGCTGGAGCCCTCTGTGCCCTCCTAGAGGTGTTCCATCGAGACCATATCATCCTGGAGACATTCAGGACCAGCTCCTTCCTGCTCCAGGGCTCTTGGCTTTGGCAGGTCAGTGTCTATCCAGCGTTCTCCTCCGATCTTTGCACCTAGGAAGCTGAGTGGAGGGGAGTTGCCCCTATAGGCACATCTGTTGGGGTTAAACTTCCAGGATGTTCAAATATCTTTGTAAATAAGAATAGGAAATGAGGCTCAGTGCCAGAGCTGCCATCGTGATGTGCATGTGTGATGTAGCAGCGTGGACAGACCTGGAAATGAATGGAAAATGGAAATTGGAGCCCACAGGGGAAGGAAATCACAATCATGAAATTTTATTAATTTTATTAGGTCCATTTTCTTCCTGTTTGTTCCAAGTAACTGGAAACATCTGGAAATCGCTCATGTAATCTCCCATCTCTTGGTCTAGGGGGAAATGCAGAGACTGGCAATGTCACTTTTTAGATGCTGCCCTTTTCCAGGATGCTGGGCTTGCACTGCAAGCCCTAAGGATTATCTGCAGAGAATCCATCCCCTCCTGACACCTTGTGTCAGTGGTTGGGGAAGCCAAGGGCAGTGTCGCAGGTGCTACTTGGGGTTACAGTGCTAGTCCACAGTCAGCTGCAGCAGGTAGGCTAAAATCAGGAGGAAAACAGGAGGGATGTGCTAAAGTCTGACTTCTCTTTCATCTGTGACCAGATTGGGTTTGTGTTGTCCCCTCCGTGGGGAGGACCAGGCTGGGACCAGAGCGACTCCAGCAACCTCTTGTTCCTCACCATGTGCTTCTGCTGGCACTACCTGGGTGCCCTGGCCGTGGTGGCTGCCAACGCTGCTGCATCCCGCTGGTATGAGGGGTCCTGGCACAGGGCACGGGCTGGGTGGCCAAGAGCAGCACCCAGATCCAGCAGTGGGCTGGGAAATGCATGCACCAGTGTGTCATGGGATAAGGAGTGTGGGTGTCCATATGTACACAAGCGTGGCTTGGCGTGAAGGAGTGGGCTCCGTGCTAGCACAGAGCAGCCTTCCCACGCAGGGTAGGGTGAGCCAGTGGGTCTCACTACCCACAAGTCCTTGACCATTGTCACTGTCTCTCCTGCAGCTGCAATGAGTCCTGCCAGCTGAAATTTGGGGACATTGACGTGGAGTTGGACTGTGGCTTGTGCCTCCACAGAGGGAAGAAGAGCTCCGGTGGCGCCTTGCTGCCAGAGAGCAGCTTGGATGACAAATGAGGCTGTGGTGGGCATGGAAATCTCTTCCCTGATGGTTTAGAACTCTTGAGATGAAATTTTTAATTAGTCTTGATAAATTACAGCAGCACTTTACAGTGGAGCATCAGAAGTAGGAGGCAGGACCCTGAGGCAGAGCATGACAGGAGATGCCAAATCTTTCCTCGTGCATCCCTTTGGTAGACACGAGTTCTTAATTCTCTGAGCTGCAGCTCAGGCTGCAGACTGCAGGACTAGTTTGCTGTTGGAGTCCAACTGGAGTGGCAAACCAGACTATTTTTTCTAACATTTCCCTTCTGCTTCCTCAGAAGGGAGCCAAGCCAGCATTCAAAGCTCCTGGTGGCCGTTGTTCTCTCTGGGGTTAATGGGGAGGGTTTTGTACTAAGCTGAATGTACAGACTATCTGTGATCACCAATAAAGTGCTTTAACACATCTCCTCCATGGATCTCTTGAACACCCTGCTGCAGGCTAAGGTAATGTTGACTTCAAAATGGTTTAGGCAGTGGAGGAAATATCTGAAGGGTGGGACTGTGTATGATTTAATGTGGATAAATCTGCCCAGGGAAGGAGGGTGGCCAGTGGATGGAAAGGATGGAGGGCAGCTGCTCTCCTGCTAGTTTATCGTCAGAAGCTGGGTTAGGCACATGAGCCAGGGGTTTGGTGCTCCTGGGATGTTTGCTGGGCAGGGGGCTCGGCTGAAACACCCTTGAAGCAAAATGATGGTTCCAGCTGGCTGGGGTGGGTGTATGGATGGTCTTGAGAAGTGTCTGAGAGCCCTGCAGTGATTTCAATCTTTCTCCAACACCTTTACTCCCTCCTTGGAGCCAGTCACTTCCAAAGGAAACCTTCCAGTTAGAGGCTGTCTGCCTTGCTGTTGGAGTCTACTTTTGTTTGCAGCAGAACAGTGCGGGGAGATCCTTCCTGAGGGGAGATGGAGAACAAAACTGAATGCAAAAGATAGCATTAGGAGACTTAGTGAAAGAACATCACTAATCATCATCCAAAAGTTCATAATCAGCATCTAAAATGTTTGTGCCATGGCTGAGGGCTGGACTGGGTGAACAGGGGAGCACCAGCAGCATTGATTTTATTATCTTCCAAAACTGTTACTGTATTCCCCTAAGAAATGCAAGAGCCAGTTTAGTCTGAACACATCCCTGATGTGCTGCACAGTCTGGGAGGAAAGAAAAATTCCTCCTGCCTCAGACCAGTTGCAATTCCCAGCCCCATGGGAACTCCCTGGAAGAGTGAGTACTGTCAATTTAATTTTTAATTTTGCATTTTATTTTTATTTTTGTATTTTATTTTTGGGTTTTTGTTTTGTTTTGGGGGGTTTTGTTTGGTTTTTTGGGGTTTTTTGGTGGTTTTTTGGGTTTTTTTTGGTTTTTTGGGTTTTTTTTTGCATTTTATTCTTATATTTTCTCCATTTGGAGCAGGGCTGGAAGAAGACCAATGCTTTGTGTCCAGAAAAAAAGCCTTGAGGAGCAGAGAAAACCAAGTAAGGCAGTACTTTGGGCTCCCACATTTGGCAAGCACACCCAGAGGATGAAGCAGGCTGCCCTCCTGAGCAATGGTTTCTCCAGGACCTGGTTGCCTGTAAGTTGGACTGCTGTGGATCTCCAGTACTGTAGTGAGAGATTGCATTGTGCTCCATGGAGGTGATGTGCTCCCATTGTTAATAATCCTCCTGGGACTAGAAGTGGGGTCATTGTGTCAAGTTGTTATAGACTGGCTGCCACTAATGGGAAGCTCAGTGCAGAGGTTACAACCTGGTGTACTGAGCTTGGATTGAAAAGAAGGGGATAAACAATCTCTTTCCCCTTTGATCCACCGATGTTACTTTTTTCCTGTTTTTTTTTTCTGCCCAAATGTTATCTTTGCAGTGCTGAATCTCTTACTGAGGGTTTTGGTGCATAAAATGTTGGGGGTTTTTGGTGATGTTTCTTCTTTCTTTGAATAAATATAAGTAAGAGCAAACAGTAATCATCGTGCTGTGTGTTTTGACAGGTTCAGTGGGACCACACTCCAAGCCCAAGGTTTCTTTGAGCAGAGCAGCCAAAATTACCTGTTACCATGTTAGGTGATAGAGCTACCCCATATTTGATACATGACTAATGTTCATCATGTCAATAAAGTAGAAAGAAGAGATGAGGTTGTTGAGGCTGTGGCTGTGTTTGTTGTACAGTTCCCAGCTAGCCTGGGTATGGGATTGATATTTCCTGTAACATCTCTCCCTGTGAAGCCTGAAGGGAATAAAATTCACTGAGTAGAGAGTCAGACCATGGCAGGGGGTTGGGATGAGATGATCTTTAAAATCCCTTTCAACCCAAACCATTCTGGAATTCCATGACCAGGCAAGATTCAAGTGATCAGTAAAGACCCCGTTGTCCACCCAAAGCATTGCCAGTCATGTGCTGTGGACACAGGCAACCCTGAAATAGGTGGGAGGTGGACACATGTTTCATTGCAGTCCCTGCCTCTCCAAGGCCGGTTAGGATGTGTGCCTGTGGGAGTTTAATTACGGGGACCTCATTACTTATCATACACAGACCTGGCAGATGCTGTTCCTGTTATTTTGCGACAGAACATTCAATTCCTTGTGTAGCTCCTGGTCTGTCTGCACTGTTAGTCCCCAGGGAGATGTAGAGATGTGGATGATTTTCTTTTTCCATGGGCTGTGGGCTGTGATTCCCTGAAAAATACCTTGGCCAGAAAGCAATGCTGTGTCTCTTTGTTGTTTCACACATTGTTAAGCTTTAAATGATGCTGCTCAAACCAGGATTTAAGGTAATTCTTACCTGCATTTTACCCTTTTTCTTGCCTATTGGCACACAGAAACACCAAGACTGGTTTTATTGATGACAAATATTCCCAGCTGCATAGTTAAATTTGGAGAATTGATTGAGGTGTCCAGAACACACATGCTGAAGTGTTTGGAAGGAACAGGGACCTTTGCACTTCCAGACTGAATGCACAAGTTTTCTCACAGCAAGGGTTGGGAGAATGTCATGTTAAGTTTTCCCATTTCCACAGATCCTCTGCTGCTGGTAAATGTCAGGAACAGGATGTTGTGCCAGAGGAACTGGCCATAGAAGCCTTTGGAGGATGGCTGGGTGTAATTTGGGTGTCCTCTTGCCTCAGCCAGAGGGAACAGAAACTTCTTGAGACCGTATGGAAAAGTGCTGCTGGACGAGCTGAGGTGTTTTACAAGCCCTCAGTACTCAGATCTGTATGCAAAACCTTTTATTGTTATTGCTGAGAGATTTGCTGGAGATGCATGGTTTTAGGAGGAGTTGAAATTAGCACTTTAAACGTCACTAAAATCTATTCTTTTAGCTTAATTATTACACTTAGCTTCCAAACTTAATGCAGTTGCTGTTCAGAGGACAATTGGATTTTCTAGGTCACTTATCTCTTCCAGAACTTAAAATTTTCCATTACTTTTTTCCTTTTTTTAATCTTAATGTGTTTCTTGCCTATTAACTCAAGTGATTTAAGAAACAACAGTCAGCAGTACATGGTTATTTTCCTCTGAGGATGCACAGCCTGAATCTCTTCCAAGGTTGTGGTGAGGCTGCATCTTGAATAGTGTTCAGGTTTGGGTCCCTCCCTACAAGGAGGACGCCGTGGTGCTGGAGCTTGGAGAAGGGAACAGAACTGGAGAAGTGCTGCCAAGGAGGGGGAAGTGTTCCAGCTCTGGCTGGAGTAGTTTTCTTGGGAGGCTGGAGGTTCTGGACTGTGTCTGGGTGGTGATCATGAAGTGTTGGCTGGAGAGGAGGCTGCTCCTGCTTCAAGGATGCTCAGTGAGAGTTACACAGTGTAACAGGGGTGACAGACCCATTGTTAATTGCTAATGCGTTTCCACTGTACTTCATGAAACTTCAGACCAGCACACAGTTTGATGAATGCGTGTGTATAAGGAGATGCTCAAATATAATGAATCTTAAGAGTGGCCTTATTGAAAAATATACAGTTTTCCCCTGGGTGTAACATCTGTGGAGTCTCGGAGTGCTCACATCACTCACCTCTTTCCTGACATATCTATGAATTCCTGGGAGGTGTTTCTTTTCTCAGCACTGCTTTGAAAATAGATACCAGTGACTGTGTTTTGTGGAGGGAAATAAAATTGAAAAATCCAGGTGTACCAATGTGTTTCACCAAAAAAATTGCCCTGTTTATTAACCTTAATAATATTTATTTTCTCTGCAGGCTATGGGAAGGTTCATGCATTGTGTGAGTGCTGAGGCTGGTGGTAGAATGACTCGTGCCCCATTTCTGCTGGTTCTGTGAGATGCTTGGAGTTCACTAGGAGCATCCTTTTCAGCACAGTGGATTCTGGTGAGATGGTTATTACACATCCTACTGATTTTCAGAAAGCAACATGGAAACACCTTTGAGGCAACTATTTAAATCTGGTTAACCTTTTAACCTTTTAATTCTGGTTAATCCTCAGGACACCTCAGCAAACCTGAGCTCTTCTTTGGGCTCTTCAACTGCAACAGCAGCCAGGCTTCTCCCTGCCTTCTTGCCTCAGTTTAAAGTTGGATGTAAAGATAAAGAAAGGTTTTTCTAATGCTTAATATCATAACCCAATACTTGCCTTTGGTTTGATTGTGTGTGCTGGGTAGAGATACCCACATATGGTGATATTGTGATGGGGGCGTGAGTTATCTGGATTAAAAGATTAATTACCTGGATTTGAACCATGAGCTGCCAGCACTACTTGGAAACCTAGCTGAAGCCATCAGTAGTGCAGCAAAACCTGGAAAAGCTGCTCTCCAGAGCTGATGTTGGGATTCTGAAAGAACAGCAGTTGCCTCTTGTTCACCTTCCCGTACTGATTAGCTCAATCGGCCCTTGTTTCTCAGGGTTATGCCGTTGGGAAATAAATTATGTATCTCTTGCAGGGATGTGTGAGTGTAGTAGAGAGGTATTATTTGAATCTATCAAATAACATAATTTTTATTTGATTTTCAGCATATTTGTGAATCATCTGTTCTGC